TAAGTCTTAGAAATTTATTACATAAGTATGTGCTCTTTCGGGTATTATAAGAGTGAGTCTCACTTCTGATTTCAAAGTTATGTATGTGTTTTTTGACATAAATAAGACAATGAAGTATATATGCACAGGGTACAGTTAGAATGTTCAATTTAGAAAACTGCTCTCTACAGTCATCTCTAAATCCAAGGTCAGATATGATTCTAATAATTTTTCTCTGAAGAGTAAAAACTTGTTTCTTAGAGGGAGCATGACCCCATACTAAAATAGCATATGTTATGATGGAATGGATATAGCCATGCTAAACTATCAGCAAGCTTGATATTGAGACTCTTCGTTTGAGACTCCGGAGTAAATAAGTATGTTTTGATATCTTGGAGCAAACATAATTAACATGTTAGTTTATCATGTTTTAAGGCCCCCCTCAAAAAATCATATCAAAAAAAAATTTTTTAAAGGTCGCTCAAGATTTTGTAAAATTTCCAAAATCGTCAAAAATTTATTTTTTTTTGTTTATTTTTTTCCCGTTATTTTATAATTTTCTAGGTTGAAAAAAATCTCGATTCTGAAAATTTCAAATCGATATTTTAATTTCTAAAGGTTACTCATAATTATTTTAATTTTCAAACTAGTGTACCTACCTGTTTTCGAACAACCTCTAAAAAATAAAAAATTTCAAAAAGAGGTTATATATGGTCCAAATTTCAAATTTCTTAATATCGGTTTCCAAACTCGGGGGTCTATTTAACTTATTTCGATAGTAAGTGACTAAAAATAAGCAAAAGTTGATTATCAAGGCAATATGAAATTAAAATCGTGTTAGTTATATTCATGTTCAAGAATGTATTACATTTTTGGTCGTAACTTTTTTCATTAAATATCCAGTGGTTTCCTTCTTACCGGTAAGTAGCTACTGATTTGTAGATTGAAGAAGAAATCTACCTGAGCCAGCCTAATTTTTAAGCTGTGAATTTATTTTGAAGCTACCAAGGCTAGAACATAAATAACGATTTTATGTGGAACACCCTGTATGTAAAATTTAATCTTAATTCTTAATAAAGAAAAAAATAGTACAAATTATTGTTTTTTTATGCGTTATATTTTCGTACTACTTAAGCTTTACAAAATCTTATTACTTAGATACTTTTAAAAAATTACCCATACTTACTTATATTACGGTTTCTAATACGTGGAAGCACAAATTGTTGTTGTTCTTTACTGATATTAGAATTAGCCTTTATTAATTTCTGCGATTGAAAAATTATTTGTTTACAATGATTAACATTTATATTTAGATTTTAGATTAACTGATAAGTCCGTTAAAGAAAAAATAATGATTTGAAAGAGAATGGCATATCAAAGATAATATTAGACCATTATGCTTTATTTTAGCACGTATTTTATAATAAATAAACCAACTCTAACTAATTATGGTTACAAGATCTTGTGTCCAGCTAGGGATCGTAACAATTTTGGTTTGGACACATAATAAAAATGGAGGATCGTGTAAAATGTTGTCATTTTACTTGAGGACACGAATTATAGAATTAAAAATTATAAATATTTATCTGAAAATTAAATACAAATGATCATAGGTATCCGTTCTAGTGAGTAAAGTAGTTTGGTTATTGTGCCTGACCTAGTTCCGTCGTAAATGCAATATATTGACAGACTAACAGTATGGTTAAAATTGAGGTACTTTGGCATTTATTTAAATTATTCTTCTGTTCTCATGAGCATTGAAAACTATCCCACCCACTAGCGGGAACCATTGCGAATACATTGATATATAATAATATCCAATTATGTTAGTTTCTTNTCTCTACAGTCATCTCTAAATCCAAGGTCAGATATGATTCTAACAATTTTTCTCTGAAGAGTAAAAACTTGTTTCTTAGAGGGAGCATGACCCCATACTAAAATAGCATATGTTATGATGGAATGGATATAGCCATGCTAAACTATCAGCAAGCTTGATATTGAGACTCTTCGTTTGAGACTCCGAAGTAAATAAGTATGTTTTGATATCTTGGAGCAAACATAATTAACATGTTGATCCCATGTCAGTTTAGGGTCAAGATGAACACCCAAGAATTTTACACGTGCTGGATTATCCCAGTTTTCCATATTCCGGAGACTAAAAATATGTTAGTTTATCATGTTTTAAGGCCCCCTCAAAAAATCAGATCAAAAAAAAATTTTTAAAGGTCGCTCAAGATTTTTTAAAATTTCCAAAATCGTCAAAAATTTATTTTTTTTTGTTTAATTTTTTTCCCGTTATTTTATAATTTTCTAGGTTGAAAAAAATCTCGATTCTGAAAATTTCAAATCGTTATTTTAATTTCTAAAGGTCACTCATAATTATTTTAATTTTCAAACTAGTGTACACCTGTTTTCCAGCGACCTCTAAAAAATAATAAATTTCAAAAAAATAAAAAATTATAAATATTTTATATCACTGCGGTAGTAAATTTTGCCTCGAGACAAAAAAAAATATTAGTTCGTTGATATTAATTTTTTAGAGGTTGCTGGAAAACATAGATACCTACCTACACTACTTTGAAAATTAAAATAATTATGAGTGACCTTTAGAAATTAAAATATCGATTTGAAATTTTCAGAATCGAGATTTTTTCAACCTAGATGATAAAATAACGGGGAAAAAAAATTTTAAAAAAAATCAAATTTTTCTGACGATAAGTCGCACTATCGTCTTTAGTACTGTGAAGGTCATTTGTTTCGAAAGCTCTTTTTTTATTTTTAAGCAAAACAGAAGGGGATGCTATCTCCGTAAACAACAATCCGAAAAAATGTGTTAAAATAATACAGTTATAAAGGCTATACTGTATACTCTGCATCGAACCGTGAACGTAATTGACCATTCCGATACTGTTTTTAAGAATATCATATTTATAACTGTATTATTTTAACATATTTTTCTAAATTGTTGTATCCAGTTATTTACTACCTATGCCAGTTTTTTTCTTTTTTTAAAAAGAACGCAATATTTACGGATATAGCACTCCCTTCTGTTTTACTTAAAAATAAAAAAGAAGACCTTTTGAGACAAATGACCTTTACAGTACTAAAGACTTCGACTTATCGTCAGTAAAAATTTGGAATTTTTTTATCAGTTAAAAAAATAACGACGAGTTAAAGTGAGAGGTATCAATTTTATAGGCAGAAAACCATGATTTTTTAAAATTTTCATTAATAACTAAAAAATGGGATAACGAAGCCAACTGAAATTTTAGCACACAGAGTAATAGTGAGGTTATATATGGACCAAATTTCAAATTTTTTTGCTCTTACGTTTTCTTAATATCGGTTTCCAAACTCGGGGGTCTATTTAACTTATTTCGATAGTAAGTGACTAAAAATAAGCAAAAGTTGATTGTCAAGACAATATGAAATTAAAATCGTGTTAGTTATATTCATGTTCCAGAATATATTACTTTTTTGGTCGTAACTTTTTTCATTAAATATCCAGGGGTTTTCTTCTTACCGGTAAGTAGCTACTGATTTGTAGATTGAAGAAGAAATCTCCCTGAGCCAGGCTAATTTTTAAGCTGTGAATTTATTTTGAAGCTACCAAGGCTAGAACATAAATAACGATTTTATGTGGGACACCCTGTATGTAAAATTTAATCTTTATTCTTAATAAAGAAAAAATAGTACATATTATTGTTTTTTTATGCGTTATATTTTCGTACTACTTAAGCTTTACAAAATCTTATTACTTAGGTACTTTTAAAAAATTACCCATACTTACTTAAATTACGGTTTCTAATACGTGGAAGCACAAATTGTTGTTGTTCTTTACTGATATTAGAATTAGCCTTTATTAATTTCTGCTATTGAAAAATTACTTGTTTACAATGATTAACATTTATATTTAGATTTTA